ATCTCAACCTCAGATCTGACCACAACCACAATCTCAACCACAATCTTAACCTCAATCCCAATTGACTCCATCACACAGCCTAAGAGAATCATACAGAAATGACTACCATCGATCATAGACAAGCTTGCTCTATATAACATATTGGAGGACTTGCAGAACACAAGAGCTAATACCACATACGGGCAAATGTTGAAATACTCAGATCAGTATCAAAATTTAGCAAAAGTAATAAGGAGGAACAAGCCTCCAACCATAGAAGCAAACCAAGCCTCAATAGACCAGGCTCAAAAGACCATCGCCATGAGATATCACATGAAAATTAAAAGCAACCCTGTGGTTGCAATCTTAGACTCTGACGTTGCAGTAAGTATAATTACAAAGAAGCTTATACTAAAACTGGGCCTTGTCCCTACCTGTGAATCCAATACAGTGGTCGTTACCGCCAATAGAGAAAGAGCCAAGGCTCTTGGTATAGTTGAAAATATGAAGATCATTTTGCAAGATATTGTTATACCTATAAACCTTCAAGTAATTGAATCTATGGATAAAACTTTACTATTGGGAACCGACTAGTTCACTAAATCTAGGGCCACTCTAGATTTCGAGAACCTGCACATTAGATATCTAGGCAAACAAGCCACCATAAGTATTACCAACACTGCCCACTTGCCACCAGTACCCTTCAACAAAATAGATGATGACGATGCTGATAATCAGTAGATCGATGAATTAGACGACGAGGAAGAACTAGAGATGTTCTTCTCTGATGAATTGGCCGCTGATTCAAATGAAGACCTGTATTACAACTCTTGGGAACAAGAGATAAGTATGAATCAGGGTAACCTGGCAATATATCTTACAGAAGTACCTTGTAACAATCTTACAGCCCGAGAGAAATCTAAGTTCAATATAGGGCAAGAAGTTACCTTGAAACAAAAGAAGGTTGCTTAGGACTTATTACTACAGAATCATGAGATATTCGCCACCAATATTTTAGAAAATAGCCAAATCATAGGGTTAGGCTATACAGATCACATGCGTCATCACATTATTACTAGAGATGCGGCCCCAATAAAGCAGAAGCCCTATTGTATCCCACCCGATAAGCAAGAATTCCTTCAACAAGAAATCGAAAAGATGAAAGAATTAGGTGTTATTCGACCCTCCACAGGACCTTGGAGTTCCTCTATCATTATAGTCCCAAAGAAGAATGGCAAGAAGCGTCTCTGTGTTGACTATTGCAAATTAAATGCTGTGATAAAGAAAGACATATACCCACTCCCAAATATTAACAACGTACTAGACAGCTTCAGGAAAGCTATCTGGTTCTTTAGTTTTGATCTGGCTAGTGGCTACTGGACAGGTTGCTGTAGCAGAAGAGAACAAAAAGAAGACGGCATTTGTCACTAAATGCAGCATATACGAATTCAACGTAATGCCGTTCGGTCTTTGCAACACCCCGCCACATTCCAACAACTAATGGATACCTTTTTGCAGGAGTTCATCAATAAATTTGTCGTTGTATACCTGGACGACATCACAGTATATTCGACCACTTTTGAAACACACTTACAGCATCTTCAAGCTGTATTTGCTAAACTAAAAGAAGCCAGCTTAAGGCTAAATTTGGAAAAATGCTTCTTTTTTCTACCCAACGTCGAGTTTCTAGAACACGTTGTGGAGAGGGATGAGTTGTGTCCTGATGAAAGAAAGGTCAACAAAATCAAGAATTACCCCGTCCCTACTACCCTGCGGCAAATTAAAGGTTTTTTAGAACTTGCATCCTATTATAGAAAATTTATTAATAGGTTCTCTAAAATAGCCAAACCCTTGAACCAACTGTTAAGAAAAGATAAGCTATACATATGGACTAGTTAACAATAGCAAGCATTTGATAGTTTAAAAAA